TTCTATTATGCTAAGAAAGTATGAATGTACTGTAATTTAGCCAAAGCAAAGCAAATTCAACATTTGTTTATTTTGATGGCATAGATAAACTTCTGATTAATTTAACTTCCACTGAGACATCATATACACTAATCTTACATTTCAGGACAGCAGTCAAGGAATTATGTATTGTACCTAAGTGATCCATCCATGTGAAAAGATCAAAGAGCCTCAATCATGTTGTAGGCAATGCTTGTAGCCTCATCCCAGAGCCTCATGACCCCTGGTATTCCAAGTGTCAGATGAAGGTAGCACAGCACAACTGAAATAATGACAAACCATCTTCATCCAAAACAGAATGTGCATAAGGCACACAATTCTGATTAATTGTCTTTACTTGAAAAATGGTAGGATCTGGGCAAATTCAGAAAACATAAGTTTGTGGCTTAGCTAGGAAACCATAAAGCAATGGTCTGTCCCATTAATGAAAAAATAAAATAATACAATTTGATGATTTCCTCCAACTTCTCCCAAAGCAGCCTATGTATTTATGGGTATTGAATGAATTTAAAAATTGGAACTCACACTTACTATTTAGACAGTGCTAGTACACTATTTATACTACTGTAATTATTAAATATTCCTACTTAGTTTTATTTGTATTAGGTAGCAGTTGAATCAATTGAAAATGTGTAATATATGCTCAAGATGCTTTAGATCAATAACTGTCTATTAATACAATGAGAATGGACTCAAAGGTGGTGTGGTTTTAGTCAATGACACACAGATATGAGTGGTCTGTTGTGCATATTGTAGATAAAATACAAGTAGATCTCGCTTTATGACCACAATCGAGCCCAACATTTCTGTTGCTAAGCGAGACAGTTGTTAAGTGAATTTACCATATTTTACGACCGCTCTTGCCACAGTTGTTAAGTGAATCACTGCAGTTGTTAATAAAACAGTTGTTAAGTGAATCTGGTTACCCCATTGACTTTGCTTGTAAGAAGGTCGCAAAAGGTGATCCCATGACCCCAGGACAGTGCAACCGTCATAAATATGAATCAGTTGCCGAGTGTCTGAATTTTGATCATGTGATCACAGAGATGCTGCAATAGTCGAAAGTGTGAAAAATGGTCATAAGTCAGTCTTTCCAGTGGCGTAACTTTAAACAGTCACTAAGTGAACTGTTGTAAGTCAAGGACCACCTGTATGTCTGCCTTCCATGAAATATACTTTTCCAAAATCCTGGCCATTAGAGACACATTCTCAGTGTGATTTTTAAACAATCCACTCTCATAAGGCACTTAAAAAAATCAAATTAAAAAAGAAACTTTCATTAACAAAGTTAAATATAGTTTTGCAATCATTTATTTTAAATGCTATATTTGGCCAATAAACCTTTCATTATATTGAAGGCCAGGGCTTTTTTTCTCATAGAACGCCCAGAACGGAGTTCCGGCACTTTTTTGGATGGAACCTTGTAGGGTAGGCAAGGCAGGTTGTATGACGTGTGTGAGTTCCGGCACCTTTTTTTTCTTCAGAAAAAGCACTTTTGAAGGCCATCTATAAAAGCCCATGTAATTAAGTTAGTTCCATTACTTTCTATGACAATGGTGATGCATTTGTTTCTGCAAATCATTAAAATCAAGATCAAAATCAATTCAAATTTGATTGCAATTAATTTCCCACTCCATACATTCAGTGTCAAATCCTTTTATTTGCTCAGCATCTTTTCCATTCTGGCATTCTGATCATATTTTTTTTAACATAGATGATGAAAAGCAAAGCATTTGTGATTTGTGCAGATAGTATAAACCAAATCATATAATATCTATGGAATTCTAAGCTTCATTTATCTTTATAAATATTATGGCTTCTATTAAACCATTTTATCATGAAAGTCAATTCCATTGAAATCAGTAAGATTTAGTTCCAGGTAAAAACTTGGAGTAAACTTGGAATAGTTCCTTGAATAAAAGCGAGTATAATCTGAATACTCTAAATTGTGGGCTTTTATAAGATCAAATGCTGTTACCTCTGCATCAAGGCTTTTTTTCTTTCCAGAGAATGAGGATCATTTTTACTAAAAGCCTAAAACTGTGGAGGCATTTGGTAGGAAAATATTATTTCCACATTAGAAATGACTGCTGTCTATTTTAAGTATCTCTTTACACTAGTTGCCAGTAGCTTCCTTAAACATCTAAACATTTATTTTTAGTCAGCAGAGAAGGGAAAGTTTATATTCAATGAGATTTACATAAAGCAAATAGAAATCTGACAAGCATATTATTAATTGTGCATGCAATTTTATAAATATTCAGTGGAGGTGTCCTAAAGACATTATAAATTACCAAATAGGTATCAACAACTCAATTATTCCAAATGCATTAACAAGTAATATATTTAGCAACAGATCCTAAATAAATCAACTGGATTTATAAATGAAGAATAACTGTTTAGGCTTGAAATGGCAAATGTCAACTGTTCAGGTAATTGTAACTGGATTCTAATGGTGATGATAAAAAAGTGCAAGAATAATGTTCACTGTTGTATGTTTTCAGTTGGCTGCACCAAATTTACCAGTAGAATTATATCAGACTCTGATCCTAAAAAAAACTTCTCGATGTACCTTCTAAAAGATGGACAGATGTTAAGAGTTACTAGCGATCAGAAGAATCGTCTAGCAAAGAAACATTTCTATCTGAAAGCAGAGATGTTTGTTGGATGTCCTATGGAGGATAATTGTAATGGAAGAATGGACTGGTGTATTTAAAAAAAAAAATGCAGACCCCAAAAACTTGTCTTCTCTTGACAAAGTCGCTCCAACCCGAACGGCGATTTGCTCTAAAACAAGCAGGGAGTTTCGGGACTGGGGTGGTAGGGAAGAGGCCTAACTCAGGGCTAACGCCGTCGTTGCAACGCGCGTTTGTTTTTTTTTTAACGACGACAGACGAAACAGAGAGATCAACGAGGCGCGTGGCTGGGGAGGAAGTCTGCTACTGTGGCCCCTCTTATCTCGAAAAGTACTCCGGGTGACAAATGGGGTGAAAGAGGGGTTGTTGTTTTTTTACCTCGCTGCCCTTGCCTGTTGTTTTCAGGCATCCTCCTCCTCCTCTTTCTTGGGTCAAGAAACAGAAGGAAGGAAGGAAGGAAGGAAGTTCTCGATGCTAAATACACCCCAGCAACTCTCATGAAACTGCATGAGGAAGAGGAAGAGGAGGTCGCGGGGGCTACCCCACCAACTTTTTCTCACGCCGGTCCCTTTGCCTTGAGCGCACGGACTGCCGGCAGCGGTTCTTGGCGGGGAGGCTGAGGGATCAAGCCGAATTCAGACCTTAGAAATTAGGGCAGATTTGATAGGTTGTTATCTACACTGGGCGGCGTTTACCCTATTCCACTATTGGGTGTGCGAACACTTTTCATAAGCTCTGCCTTTTGTTGTGCGCGTGCCGAGAACGAACCGAGCGCTCTTCCACCTTTTAATGCTTCCTCCGAAGACTCTTAATTGATTCGAAAAGGTTTCCGACTACCAGATGTGGGGTTGGAATGGGGACGGTGTTGACAATGGGTCATCGGGGGCTTGCTTGGAAAGTAAGATACTGATCTTAAAGTTTATAATGGAAGGGTGAATAGGAAGACTCCCCCCTCCCCCCTCCCCCAGAGAGCAGGGCGGGTCTCGAGATTCTCGCTGCTCCCGGAGTGGGATTTTTTCCGAACGGGCAGAGGGAAGGCAAGGGCGCGAAGGATTTGAGTTGCTTTGGAAAGCACCGGAGCCGGAGGACCGCGCAAAGCCCCCGGCGCTACGGCCCCTCATCAGCATAATGGTTGCGTTAGCCTAGCAGGCAGAGTTCCGTCTACAATATAAACCGCAAACAGCTAATCATTAGAAATCCCAGCCCACGCCCCACGCGCACCCATTCTGGACCCGTCTTGACTCCCCAAATCGATCCTTTTCAGTCGGTGGCTTTTTTGCTAGATCAGCCCCGCGGCTTTTTCGAAGTGCTGGCCGAAGTCAAGAGTTGTTCGCCTTCCTCAGAGGCCACCCCTAGCAGCCTATTTTAGAAACTCGCCCCGACAACCCGCCCCCTCCACACACACACACACACACACACAGACAGACAGACACGCTTTTCGTCCCACGCAGTTTGTTGCTCCAGTCGGAAGTTCGCCCTCTGACAGATTCTCGAGTTCAGGAGCCGCCTAAAGTTCCTGTCCTCCTCCTTATTTTGACTACTTTTCCTTTCCTAAACCCCACCCCAGAGAACTTGCTGCTTTTGCGGAAGAAGAACTGAAGCTCGTTCTGAGCGAAGGGCAGACTTTTGCTAAAAAGTTCTCCCCTTGCCCCCTCCCAATTATTATTCGCTACCCAAAGCGACAAAACTCGCGAGCAGAAAGTCCACCAAGTGCACTCGCACCTTCGTTTTATTCGACTCGGGTGGAAGGGAGGGGGAGTTTGCTGGAAGACCCCCGTAGGAAAGCGAGCAACTCCGCTTCCAGCCAATAAATCTTGCCCGGAGGAGCGGCAAAAAGGCTCAGGAAGCTAGTTTACCTCCTCGCCCTTCCAAAGAAAGAAGAAAATAAGGACGCGGGGAGGGAGGGGGGAGCACAAAGCAGCCCAAACACGTAGCAGTGGAAGACAGACGCGCCGGTGCGAGGAAGGGAGAGAGAGCGAGAGCGAGAGCGAGAGAGAGACGGGGCGCGCTAGCGAAGCGGAACGGAGCAAAAAGAGAGGAAGAGACGCGCTCGCAGCTCTGCCGCAGCCGGGACTTCGCCGCGGCGCTTGGCCAAGAAGCCGCGCGGCCGCCCAAGCGCCTCCCGCATTCAGACGCACTTTTTCCCTACCGCGATTTTCCCCGCAAGCCTTCTGCTCTCCCTTTCATCGGAGCCGGTTTCCCTTGCCCTCCCCGCATCCCTCTCCGTCCCCTCCAGTCCCTTCTCCCCGAATCTGTTTTCGACCCCCCGGTCTTCCTCCAACGCCTCTTCGAGCGGTCCCTCTGAGTCCCCTGCAGACCTCGCTAACTTGTGGCTGTTGTGATGCGTATTCCCGTAGATCCCAGCACCAGCAGGAGGTTCAGCCCCCCTTCCAGCAGCCTGCAGCCCGGAAAGATGAGCGAAGTCAGCCCGGTGGTGGCGGCAGCCCAGCAGCAGCAGCAACAGCAGCAGCAGCAACAGCACCAGGAGGCGGCGGCAGTAGCGGCGGCGGTGCCCAGGCTTCGCCCGCACGATAACCGCACCATGGTGGAGATCATCGCCGACCACCCGGCCGAGCTGGTCCGCACCGACAGCCCGAACTTCTTGTGTTCCGTGCTGCCTTCACACTGGCGCTGCAACAAAACTCTCCCGGTGGCATTCAAGGTAAGGAGAGCTGGGCAAACCTTCATCAGTTTTTCCCCCACACACCGCCCTTCACGGTGGCCCAAGGCAATTTCCTCGTTTCCTCCTGGCCAGGGTAAGGGGCAAGGCGTCAGGGGCCAATGTGATAGGTTAGGGCCTTGACACCCACTGCATGCAGTTTAGGGGGATTTGTAAGTGTTGGCTGCTATTCTCCAGGAGGACTTTAAGCAGCACTGAGATAGAACTTTCCATCAGCTGGGAATTGCCCATCTATAGGTACCTGGCCTTCTCTTGGGGGGGGGGGGTAATAGCCTTCACTTTATGGCCTCCTCCTCACTGCCTGTTTTTAAAGCCTTCCTTGTTATTGGCACAAGTCTGCTTCTCACTTTTCCTTAAATCCTAAGAAGAAGGCATCCTCTCCCCTTCCTCCCCTATCCTGATTATTGCAGTGGCCAAAGGATCCTTCCTTCTTAAAGAAAAGTGCAGAAAAGTTTGAACACGAATTCATCTCATGCCTTTAGGAGAGGACTTGTGGTCCCCTTTAAAATAGGAGATTTGTGTCTTTTGCCACATCAGAAAAGGAGGCACTGTATATTTGTGGTCGTAATCAAGGAAAACAGAGGTATCCTTAGTCTTAGTCCTTAGGCAGTTCTCCAGTCCTCTGTTGGCTATTAGTTTCTTTACCATCTAGGATGCCTGTTTATAGTTCTTGATCAACATTTACCTCCCTCATATTAGCTCCAGACTGAAGTTCATTGGCTTATTATTACCAAACCGCCTGGTAAGATGAACACAAATTAGAGTGATGTATTAATATATACAGAGAGCATTTAAAATAAAATGACCTCAGCTGTTACAAAATGTTTTCCACAAATAATCATAAAGATAGGATTCATCTAATTGACCATCTCGGTCAATTAGACGCTCCAAGACATCAGGCAAAACCTCTGGGGACACTGGAACTATTCTTTCCAGAATGAAAGACCTTGGGGTGAGGTGGTTAGATCTCTGCAGTGTTTCCATCCTTTGGTCCTAGGCATCTTCCTGACCCATCCAATGTTATTTTAACTTTCCTTTTTTTTTTTGTTTGTTTAACTTTCTCAACAATAAAATGGGTGCCTGTTCTAGGAGAACTTTGAATTCATTGATGTTGATCTAAAAATGGATTTGAGCAGAAGTTTCATTGTGGGAGGTGCCTCTTTTGCATCTGGTCGTGTTTGTTGTATCTCTCCAGGGCATTAGATAAAAAGTTCTGCTGGAAGACATACTTCTTTAATAGGAGGTGTTTTGTTGATTTGTGGAGTAATGAGGATGAAAGAATCTTTAAAACTAGTGACAGAAAGGAAAAACTGTTGATTGGGTCTGGGTGGGGAGATTTCTGTTGGGGAGGGGGAGATTGTATTGGACTCCTGCTGGGCAAATTAGGAAGCGTTTGCCCAGAAGGGTGGGTTTGAGGGGTTGTTTTTTTTTGTTTTTTTTTGGCCCAGGCAAAGAGAGTCAATATTTTTAACATGGTCACAGATCAGTGAAATGCTATTCAGAATTGAATCAAGAATAGCTTTATTATTTTTTTATAGTATATTCACACTTTTAGAAAACGTAGAATGTTTTCTCCATTTTCCTTTCTCATGTATCCATTTTCACAATCCTCAGCTGCATCTCCTTATCTGCACTACAGATTTATGCCACTACTTTTCTTCTTTCATGGGATGACTCTTGTCCAGTAGAAAAGGAATAATAGCTAATACATAAGAGAGCTAATCATTTCACATGGACATTAACATAGTATATGTATACTTTATTATGTTTATATACATAGAAACAAAATTTGTTTATATGTACCCATATTATATATATATATCGCCCAGAACGGAGTTCCGGTATCTTTTTTGGATGGAACCTTATAGGGTAGGCAAGGTGGGTTGTATGACGTGTGTGAGTTCCGGCACCTTTTTTTTTTTTTAGAAAAAAATCACTGTATATATGTCTCTAATTATATTAAAAATACGAATCCTGGGTAGAGCCACCATCATATCTAACGCATATGCAAGAGCTTTTCCCCCTGGTGTAACAGCCAAAGCTACACTGAATTCTGAGTTTAAAATAATACATGGATTAAATGAATAAGCAGTCAGGATTCCCCAGAGAGTGGAATATTAGTACTGAAAGAGATATTTTCTTCATAAATGATAAACAAGACATTATGGAGCTATTAGGGAAACAGTAAGTTTGGTTTGGGAATTTAGCTCAGGCTTGTATTTGTTCCAAACATGCAATGACCTCTCCAGTTGGAGATTCCTGGGAATAGTAACTAAATCACTGAAGAATCTAATATACCACGTGGTCTTATAAATGAAATTCTGTACTTTAAAACTGGACAAAGTTTTCAGCTTAGTTCAGTGGCCATCCGTTAAAGGATGAAAACATTATAAGCTGAGTTTTGTATTGTGTGTTGGAAGGGTGATAGATCTTTCCTTATCTGAGTTCATCAACAGCTTGGCTGCAATATGTAGCCATGCCTAGAATCCCTGAGAAAGAGAGAGATCTTTTTTAGATCTTATTACAGTCATTCTGTATTGTAGCTTAGCATGGTAGAAGCTGCAGCTGGCAAGTTGAAAAAGCATTCAAAACTCTTGCTTGGGTGTTTATGTGTGTTCATGCATACAAACTTGATTTCTGCTTGTATATTTGCCAAATATGTTCAAGGTTTCTCATCTCAAATGAAAAGGCTGTGGCAGGTACAGAGAAAGTTTCCTTTTTGTAATAATGTTGATGTGTGATAAATTACACTGGTATCATAATTTTCAGCCATGGAAAATAAACATGCTCCTTTCAAATTATTACTGCCACCTGCTGAGTTTTAAACATTAGGGATGTGATGTGAGAATCCAATCTTAAAATGCTATATAGAAGTAATAGTATCAGTGACATTTAATTAAGAAGCTGACCCAATATAATGTCTATACTATATACACCAGTATCTATTTGTGGTGATCACAAAGACACTATACAAATATATGCTTATTTAGTCTGAACAATCAAAAAAGGTTGTGGTAGAAAATATAAAGGCCTATGTTCTTAATCCTTTACTGGTTAATTATGATATGCAAATAGAAAATAAAGCAGTACAATTTGTTTATAATGTACTGCTGCAGATAAAGACCATACTGGAAAGAAAATTTGTAAAATAAAATACTGGTAAAAGTTTCCACTAAATAATTTTCATAAAAGGATCTGAAGTTATTTGGGAGGTAGATTATTCTGAAAAAAGCAAGGCATGATTGCAAATACATGTATTAATTACAGGATTTAAAGTGATTGCTTGTATTAGCTATCATGTGATCAATCCACTTCAAAGGCACATAATGTATAGAAGCTTCTTGGAAAAAGGAGCCTTGTAAGCTACATTGGTTTTAATAGTAGTTACTGAACTGCTTACAGCTTTGCTGAAGTATGATTCAAGTATCAGTTGAAGGAAATGGATTTACTTATAAAAAGTCTTTAATTGGAAAATAATCTCACATAGTAATAATGAAATGAAATGTCAGTTGGAAATGCATGTTGACATGATGGTCAAAGACATCATCCACCATGGGTAAATTTATCTGAAGCAGTGGTTTGACTGGAGGCAAATATGTTTATAAGATTTCCAGTATTACCTTGAAATGCTCTCTCACTTGTAGGGGGGGGTGGAAAGGAGAGGGAAAGGGTTGCTTTAGGTTCTATATTGTTGAAATTGCATTGGTCAACCATTACTGAAGATCATCTTTATATTTGGAGGCTGGTTGAAGAAAAGTACTGATTGGATTTATAAAGAAATAAGATTGTCTAAACATTTCTTTTAGAATTTTCAACTATATTTTATTTTATTTTTTTTTAAACTTTCTCCCAGTAAAATGTGAAAATTTTAATATCATACCTTTATGTAGTAAATTAAGAGCTGCTGAAAAAAACCAGCTATTAAGTGAAAATTGTAACTGTTCCATAATATTAACATGGAAACAATGTGGTCATCTCCATCCATCCACTTTCCCATGAGTCATTCTGTATAGTGGGGCTGGACTAGGAATCCAGCATTTGACCCACTGGTAATGTTTTAATGTTTCTTTTAGGGGCACTAATTATGTTTTCACAAAGACACTGCGTCCATTCACCATATCCCTTGCTCCAGAGAAGCCTTATTGGAGTCAGTGGGACTTTACCAAAGTAAGTGGCCGAAAGAATGTAGTCAGAATTATTAGTTATTCAGGTCTCTACATTTTTGCTGACCTTGATGTTGCCAGTAGTAATAAAAAGCTTGTAAGTTAAAAATAACAGGCAAAATAATTACATTTGGTGTGAAGTAATAATGCTGTTATTAGTATTGCAGCTATCCAGGATGTTTCCATTTCCATCAGACCCTCAGTTTTTCAGTTGATTTCAATAGCCTCAAGCAAAAGTCCAGAACATGAAAGGCAAGCAGAGTGCTATTTTTATTATTAAAAATACTGTAATTCAAATAAGTTACAGCAAAGACTCCAAGTTAAAAAAAACCCTTAGCTGTACTTTTGACTGTTTAGCTACATAAAATTATTTTAGTAATGAATATTTTATATTAAATTCAAAATGTATGTTGCATTTTATAAAAGGTACCACAGTAAACAGTTTTACAGTTACTGCCTTAGAATACGTTTTAAACATTTATTCAGGATACTTGCTCAAATAAGATATTTACATGATATAGACTATTGAAGGCTAACATTGAAACAGTTCAGTTTTTAGTTCTCACCTTGATCATTGGACTGAAAATGGCAAAAGTTAAAATAGCTGATAAAAATATAATTCTGCAGGGTTTTAGCAGACTGTTAACTGTTATCACTGTTTTAAACTATAATATAAAATTCCTTTAATTTCTAGTGTGGAAAATGCAAGTTCTCAAAACATGGTAACTTTGGAAATTATGTAGATAGAAAAAATATATGCAAGAAACTAAGAACAATTCTTGGGACTCAGTTGGAAGTGTGCTCTTGTGATGTTTTAGG